CGTATGAATCCAAGCACCATAAGTTCTTAGCTGTGACCTCAGACAAATCACGTAATTTCACTAGGCCTCAGTTCTGTCTACAAAATAGGGAAAATAATATTTATCATCATAAGGTTATTTTAAAAATTAAATATGATCATATGTTAACATATTCCTCACATACAACACTGAATCAATGTAAGGAATATTTTTACTTCTCTTATTTTGAGTTTATTATGTTTTCAAAAATAAATTTAGAATTCTTCTTACAATGTTTCCTGCTGAACTGACCCAGCAACGCTGCCATATACAGAATGCTCCAGATAATATCTTCAAGAAGAATTCTAGGCTCAGACTGAGAAGAGCTCAGTCCAAGTCCATGCTCAGATCAAGAAGGAATACTGCTTTATCTGGTCCCAGATAACTATTTTTGTAACTGTTTTATGACTCAGATCTCAATGTAACACATAAAGCCATGGTTCCAACCTATCCCCTCAGCTACATCGCCAACCATTCGGTTCTCTCCTTTAAATCTACCATCACCCACCACACACACACACACACACACACACACACACACACACACACACTTTCTCTCCCAAGATACCTGGATTTTTAATCTCATGCCAAGACTAAGATATATAACTGAAAAAATGAAAAGCTAGCTTGTATCCAGAACCCAATCCTACCAGAGACATCACTCATAATTCCTTTTACAAATAAAATCATAATATTTATTATTCTTTGTCTCCACAGTAATGGTTTTTAAATAGGGAAGAAAATATTTTTTTCAAACTAATTTTACGTGAATGTCAATCTAATTCAGTTATACTGACAATACATACAAGGCAAAGAAAATAATTAGTCTCTGCTTTAAACTATTTTTATTCTGACACTGCCATATTTTTCTCATATTGTTCCTTTTCCTCCTAATAGTTGTAAATTCCTGAAAGTAGATACCTATTTATAAACTCCAAAGTAAACTGCACTAAAGCAAAGTGAACTATTAATAACACTAGTTAGAACAGTGATAAGCAAAACAACAAATCAAGTTCTATTTTCAGTATTTTGTACCACAATGAATTTTAACAGTATGTCCAGGCTTTACATGTTTAATGAAAAAAAAAAAAAAAAAAAAGTCACCAAATCACCAAAGTCCAGTTTATGTCATACAATGGCTGCTACAAATAAAAGCAATTAAGAAAACACATAACCATGACTTCTCAAATCAATGCATCTTCAAGTATGTTTCAAGCTCAGTAAATGAACCTACTATGTGAGTGCTAATCAACAAAATAGTTAATTTTGAAAATCACAATACCTCCCATCTCTTTATGTTGGGTAATATTCTCAAGGGCTAGAGTTTGCCATAAATAATAAAGAATACCACTTAATCATAAACCCAGACATTACAGAAGAATGTATGTAGCAAGGAAGCCTTTTCGTTTATTTTTTTACATGTATATAAATCACTTCTCAAATATTTGAGAAACAAAAAAACTGTTCATAAACATAAAAGAATCTAGATATTAATATAGGGTTCTAAGAGCTTAAATGTTTCGCAGAAGTAGCCATCACGGTCATTTCTGCTCATGTTCTAAATTCTCCTGGCAACTTTAAAACATTACAAAGGACAGAAAATGTGGATCATCTGTTACTATGTCTCAAGATGGCAGCTTAAACTATAAACTTTATCTTAAGTGCATAAATACGCTTTTTAGCACAAAAATAATAGTAGCAACATTTATTGAATGCTTACTCCCCACCAAGTAATAAGATAAAAATGGTTTTCTAGCCATTATCTCATCTAATCCTTATAACACAACGCAACTGTAACAGTTATCCGCCATTAACAGAGGAGGTCTACTAAAAATACAAAAATTAGCCAGATGGGGTGGCATGTACCTGTAGTCCCAGCTACTTGGGAGGCTGAAGCAGAAGAATCGCTTGAACCTGGGAGGCAGAGGTTGCAGTGAGCCAAGATTGTGCCACTGCACTCCAGCCTGGGCGACAGAGTGCGATTCTGTCTCCAAAAAAAAAAAAAAAAAAAACCAGGGAAGGTGACTGAGGCTTTAAAGAATTTAAACAATTTGCCGGGCGCGGTGGCTCAAGCCTGTAATCCCAGCACTTTGGGAGGCCGAGGCGGGTGGATCACGAGGTCAAGAGATCAAGACCATCCTGGTCAACATGGTGAAACCCCGTCTCTACTAAAAATACAAAAAATTAGCTGGGCATGGTGGCGTGTGCCTGTAATCCCAGCGACTCAGGAGGCTGAGGCAGGAGAATTGCCTGAACCCAGGAGACGGAGGTTGCGGTGAGCCGAGATCGCGCCATTGCACTCCAGCCTGGGTAGCAAGAGCGAAACTCCGTCTCAAAAAAAAAAAAAAGAATTTAAACAATTTGCCATAGAGCCTGGATTTGAACCCAGATGTGTCGAACTCAGAGCCTGTTCTCCTAGCTCATTACACTTTATTGCCTCAAATTCCTTTAAAGTTACCCAGCTAATATAAAAATAAATATAAAAGGCTTATTAACAGAAATAGATATTTTGTTCTGGTTGCCTATATAATTAAATATTACTTGTTTTTAAATACCATAGTGCTTTGAACAACATAAAACCCTTCAAAACCATCTGCTTCATATTACTTTATTTTATGAAGTATTTATTTTTGAGACACGCTCTGGCTCTGTCGCCCAGGCTGGAGTGCAGTGGTGCAATCTCGGCTCACTGCAACCTCGGCCTCCCGGGCTCAACCAATCCTGCCACCTCAGCCTCCTGAGTAGCTGGGACCATAGGTGTGTGCAGCCACGTCTGGCTAATTTTTGTATTTTTTACAAAGATGAGGCCTCACCATGTTGCCCAGGCTTGTCTCAAACTCCTGGGCTCAGGTGTTCCGCCCCGCACCACAAAGTGCTGGGATAACAAGCAAGAGTCGCCACACCCAGCCTCAAGTAGGCTTTGAACAAGTAATTTATTATCATATTTACTTATTTATCCATTCATCATCCAATCTAATTAGTAGCACCTACTACATTTAGCAAATAACCTATGTATATGTAAAAAACAATGAAAGGCCACATGGAGTTTACCAACATATAATTCTTGACTTCAAATAATATCTAATAATGCAGAGAAAATACTAGTATAAAAATACCAGGAATTGGCCAGGTGCAGTGGCTCACACCTGTAATTCCAGCATTTTGGGAGGCCCAGGCGGGTAAATCAAGAGGTCAGGAGATTGAGACCATCCTGGCCAACATGGTAAAACCCCATCTCTACTAAAATACAAAAAATTAGCCTGGTGTGGTGGCATGTGCCTGTTGTCCCAGCTACTTGGGAGGCTGAAGCAGGGAAATCACTTGAACCAGGAGGCAGAGATTGCAGTGGGCCCATATCACGCCACTACACCCCTCCCTGGCAAAAAACCAAGATTCCGTCTCAAAAAAAGAAAAAAAAAAAAACCAGAAATTATGTGTTAAATACCACAGTCATCCACATTCTCACATAAGAAGTCAGAAAAAAAAAAAAAAACTGGCACTACTGATTCTCTCTCTCGTTCATTTCTCTTCCCACTGCAAAATAACAAGGAAAAATGGCAAGGCGAAAACATCAGAAAGAAAAGAATACTGACGTATAAAGACACTCACAGAGACACAGGAATAAATGAGAATAAAGGAACAATGAAGTTATATTGTTTGTCCCTCGAACACGTAAAAGCTATGAAGATACAAAATAAAATACATTGTTTTTGGAGACAATTTCCTTAAAAAACAGAAGAGTCAAGAGTAAGTATACCAAAACTAGTTTGAGCACTGATTGAAATGTAACCTCCTTTGAGAGAGGGGCCAGATCTTATTCACGTATCGTATATCATTTGATGCACTATTTGACCTGAAATGCGAGGCACATATGTTTGATAAGTGTCCATAAAATAACCATTCTAAAGAGTTCTATAATACTCAGGAAAGTCAATACAATTGGGGGTCAGCAACTAAGCATTAAATTCTCTACAAAATGCAAAACGGTACTTAGACATGATTAAAAACTATAAAAAATGTTTACTAAAAACAGCTTCATATCAAAAGAATATTAAAAAGAATAAAGATTTCAAACCAAAGTTCACTTTTTAATAGGCTGCTTAATAGGAGTTTTACAATTACTAATGGCAGAATAAAGTTACAAAGGGACTTAAAAGGTCATTTACTCCTTTGCCATTCGTTCAATTAGGACCACAATCAAACCATCCCCCAGCAAAAGAAACATATCTAAAGATATCCAGTGAAGATTAAACCACCTTGATAAACTACTCCATTTTTTTAAACTACTTTCACAATCTATGCCATGAATTTATCTGGTCAATGTCTGTATCTCACTTTTATCAGATATTCTAGGGCGTAATTTCCCTAGGACTACCATATATAAAGTCTAGTTATCACTGAGGAGAAAAATGTTTAAAATAATGTTGAGCCGGATGTGGGCACACGCTTGGAATCCCAGTTATTGGGGAGGCTGAGACAAGAAGGCTGCTTGGGCCCAGGAGTTCAAGGGTGCAGTGAGCTATGACTGCGTTCCAGCCTAGGTGACAGAGTCCGACCCTGTCACTAAAAAAATAAAATGAAATACTCTTGAGCACATTAAAATATAAACATATTTTCATTTACAAAAAGATGCTCAAATATCGGTGAAATAATAAATCAGTCCAGACATGAAATACTGTCAGAATTGAACAATTTTAGAACTATTGGGATCCAAGATGATCTGGTGGAACTTGTTTCTTTAAAGATGAAAACGAGGCAAAACACAATAGTATTAATACCCTATAAAGTAACATTTTATAGCATTAAAGGAAGCTTCATTTAAAAAAAAAAAGATTCATCCTCAGGCTCGAATCATCACTTTGTAATAACTACTACCTGATCCACCTGCTTAATATGGTCAAGTAAATTCACAGAACAGGGCCTTTCTCTCAGACAGAACTGGCAGTCCTGCCACACTGTTAGCAAGGAAGCAGGAGAAGGAGAAATGCATTCAGTTGTTGAGCACTTTAGGGTTTACCGCCACTAAACTGCTTTAACTTCTGAAATCAAATAAGACGGATAGTATTAACACCCCATATACATAAGGGTACAGATTTGGAGGCTTGCCTATGATCACACAGAAAATAAGCTGTAGTTACAAAATTTAGACAAGTCTGACTCCTTCCACTACATCTCAGTCAGTAAATGACACTTGGGCGAATGTCCTCTATAAAAGATTATCACTCTAAATGTTGAGACAATAAAGTATAAAGTATTAATCTGTAAGGGCCTTTCTAGTTTTACTGTTATATTTACACAAAATAGACAATTATTAAACTGATAAATCTAAAGTGGCGGAGGAGTTAATTCAATAATTACTTCTTGGCCTGGATTCTCTTCTCTTCAGCAACCCATTAGGCTATTGGTTTCCTCAATATTTTAAATTCTCCCTTAATAAATCAATCAAAATTTAAGGAGAAAAAAATCATACCACCTCATGCTTTGCTGTCACTGAAAACTGACTTCTAGTCACAGTTCAATTAAAAATCTTGCATGTCCTAGCTCAACTCCTTTTCCACAGAGGCTATTCCAAATCTCCATCATTCTTTGGCAACCCCAATCTCTTCTTTCATCAGTTGGCATTATCCCTATCCTCTTAGAGACTTAGGGTTTTTTGGGGGGTTGTGGGGGCTATCTTTTTCTTGCAGTAGAGACCACAAACTTTGAACACTCTCATCTTTTCACCACCCAACTTATAAATATCTATATCCATTCTCTTTTCTTGTTTCTCAGTGCCTAGGAATACAGTTAGCCCTTAACTGATACTTGTTAAATGTGACAAATGAATTCAAGAACAACTCTTTTGCCCTGCTCCATCCCATCCCTTCCTACATTTTCAGGGATCTGTATCAGCTACCTTCTCTCTCTCTTCATCACCTACATCTTCAAATATCACCTCTGTGGCTCTTTCCCTTACAGCTTATTATCAATCTTCCACCCCCCACAAAAAAAAAAAATCAACTCTACAAACTTTAGTTAGTGTTCCATCTCTTTCTTCTCTTTATAGTCAAGCTCCTTTAAAAAAAAAAATGTACAACTGGAAATTTCCTTTTTTGAGACAGGAAGGGTCTTGCTCTGTCACCCAGGCTGGAATGCACTGGAATACTGCGGCCTTGAAATCCTGAACTCAAGCGATTGTCTCACCTTATGGAAATTTTATATCAAGGAGGTACTATGAAGTAGGATAATGAAATTAAAGTTAATTTTTTTTTTTTTTTTGAGATGGAGTCTCACTCTGTGCCCAGGCTGAAGTGCAGTAGCGCAATCTCGGCTCACTGCAACCTCTGCCTCTCGGGTTCAAACAATTCTCCTGCCTCAGCCTCCCAAGTAGCTGGGATTACAGGCGCGCACCACCACACTCGGCTAATTTTTTGTATTTTAGTATAGACAGGGTTTCACTATGTTGGCCAGGATGGTTTTGATCTCCTGATCTCATGATTCGCCACCTCAGCCTCCCAAAGTGCTGGGATTACAGGTATGAGCCACTGCATCCGGCCTAAAGTTAATTTTTGAAAGAATCCCAACCTTTTAAAAATACATATTGAAATATCCAGAGATGAAAAGCTGTATCTGAGTGTAGCTTCAAAGCAACCCACTGGAGAAGTAGGAATTACAGATGAAACAAAATTAGTTATGTGTGCATTTTTCAAGCTAGGTGATAGTTACACTGGAGTTCATTTTATTTTCTCTTCTTTCGTGTATGTATTATGGGAAATTTTTAGTATTTTTAAAAGTAGCACGTGCTCACTGATTCCTCTTCATTTCTACAAAGCTCTAAAATGATTTCCAGCCACAAAATACATCAAGCACTCCTCAGTCTTTATCTTAACATGCCCTCTCCAAGGCAGCTGATACTCTGGACCACGCCATGCTTCTTACCTTCTACTCCTTTGTTTGTTACGCTCTCTCTCCCAGTTCTTCTTTCTCTCCGCCTCCTAACCACAGTCTCATTTGTAGGCTCCTCCCCCAAACACATACACACATCTCTTTTTCTTTTTTTTCTCTTGAGACAGAGTCCCGCTCTGTCATCAGGCTGGAGTGCAGTGGCGCCATTCTGGCTCACTACAACCTCCACCTCCTGGGTTCAAGCAATTCAACCTCCACCTCCAGGGTTCAGGTGAATAGCTAGGACTACAGGTGTGTACCACCATGCCCAGCTAATTTTTGTATTTTTAGTAGAGACAGGGTTTCACCATGCTGGCCAGGATGGTCTCGATCTCTTGACCTCGTGATCCACCCACCTCCCAAAGTGCTGGGATTACAGGCGTGAGCCATTCCACCCAGCCTACACACCTCTTAAATAAGAATTCCATATCCAAACCTCTTCCTTTTTCTTTTCTACTCATTACTCCAGCGTGAGCTGGTCCATTCTCCCTTGTAGCTTTAACTACTTATCTATATGCAAACTTCTAACTCCAGCCTGCTCTCTCTGAACTCCAGACTCAAATGAATCCCCACCTGAATATCCCACAGGAACCTCAAACAAATACTCAAAACTGAACTAATACCTTTATCTTTCACCCCAACAAAAACCAGTTCCTCCTCATCTCAATCAATGGGTTCACTATTACCTCAGTCGTGCTAGCCAGAAACTGAGGAATCAATCATCTTAGAGTTCCAAATCTCTCTAACTCCCAACACACAAACACTTATCAAGTCATATCAATTTTATCACTTAAACATTCCTTGAATCCACGTCTCTCTGTGACTCCAACTGCTTAATTCAGACTCTCTTCATTTCTCTACTGGACTTTTTTTTTTCTATTATACAACTGGCTTTTCTACTACCACTCTAATCTTTTCCCTCCCAGGGCCATTCTCTACACTGGAGCTGGAGTTATCTTTCTAAAACACAAACCTGATGACACCACCACACTAGCTAAAATTCTTAAATGGCTGCCCCATGTCAAAATGAATTCTAAACTCTGAACACAGTACCAAGTACTTTAATATCTGGCCTCAACCACTAATTGCAAGTATTCTGGGATCCAGTCATTCAGAACTACCTAGGGTTCCCCAAATACAAAATACTCATTCTTCAATCTATCCTTTGCTCATCTTGTGCTATCCATTTGTCCTAGACTGACTTTCCTCATCATCACTCCAACGAAAGCTTATTCAACTATTTTAACACGAGTTAAAAGTCAAATCATACTCGAGACCTCCCCTGACTTCTTTAGACAGAGTCAGTATCTTTGTACTAATTGACAAAGAGAATGATCAGTGCTTGAGCTCATGACCAGACCCCCTTGAGCTGAAATCCCAGGTTCACCCTTTACCAACTATGATTTTGTACAAGGCCTCTAAAGCCTGTTTCCTCATCTCTAAAAATCAGTAACTGCTTCACCAACTGTTTTGAGGATTAACTAAGGAGCTGTATGCAAAATACTCTGCACAGCAACTTACATATTCAATAAATGTTACTGTTACGTGATTATTTCCACTCTGGGCTCTGATAGCAATTTGAACATATCTCTACCACACTATTGTGATGACATGACTGTTTGCCCATGCAGGATACTATCTTTTTTCATCTCTTTATTCTCACCATCTGGCATAATGCCTGGCACATACGTTCTTAACAAATTCTGAATGAATAAAATACTTCAATCCTTATACTGTATCACATAAGGTCTCAATTTTGCTTTCTACCTGTCTTACTAACTCTACTTTCCATCTCCTCCTTATACAAAATTGCTACCTCAAGTAAAATTTACACAGGTCAGCTTCATTTTAATTAAGAGAGAAATAATTTTATGGGATTTGTGTCTTTTTGTTTCTAAACACACACAAACTCACAATAATATCAACAACTCTCCAACTCACTTTATAAAGCAGCAAATTTCTAGAATGGTTATCTACCTTTTGAAAAATTTAAAGGGTCGCCAAGGAAGGTTTCCTAAATCTATGTCACCTCCCTTTACCACCAATTCTTGGATCAACCCTAAGGACTCAGGTGTACTCCTAAGCATAATTAATTAATTAATTTAAAAACATGGTATTTTTCCTACTGAAAACATGCTCTGAGAAATTCTGAATAACACTGAAATAATCAAAGAAATTAATTATTGCTGCCTAAAGCTAAAAAAAAGTATGTTTTTAAAAATTACTAGTAATTTAAAATTGAACTAATCAAAATATGTGTATGCACTGTCAGGATGGCAAGTGGGGGTGGGGTAGAGCACTCATTTCACAACCTTGAACCTCAAGAAATAAAATGCAAAAATGCAAAACGTTAAAAATGCCAGATACCACCATAAAATCGCAATGACATCTTTTTATCTATTTCCACACTTAACCTTGAAACATTACTGCCCTTTGAGTAATTACCGATTGATGGGTTTAATATGCAATCACCTCTGAGCTACTTTAAAACAAACATGACTAATCTAGAAATAAACGTATCCGGGAAAGGAGAAAAGACTGTTAAAACACGGTTTCTCGGGTCTCACATCCAACGTGTGACTTACATACGGTTCTGCACGGAGAAGCAGCAACCTGCGAGTGTCAGAGGTGCCGAAGGCCCGAGGCCCCGCAGCTTGGGCGGCTGCTCATCCCTCAGACTGTGCAGGGCGGTGGCCCAGACCAGGTGGGGCTGAGCGCTGCAGCCGGGGCGGGCCCAGCAACCGGGCGGGAAGCCCCAGGCTCACCTCCACTTCCCTTTCCCAACGCACAGGACCCAGTTCTGCGACCACCCAACAGCCCCCTCAAGACAAAGAAAGATTTTTTTTCTGTCCGGGTCCGCTCAAAGTTTATCGGTCTTTCCCAGCGATCGGGGCCGCCGGGCTTTGTAGTTTGCCAGTCTGAGCTACCCCACCAAGGCCGCGAGCCCGAGGAGCCACTGAACTACAATCCCCATGATGCCCCGCGAGCCTAGCGCTCCGCCCAGTCCCCGCACTGGGGCCAGCGCCCAAGTAATCCCACCACGCACTGCCCAGGCGTCTCCGGTGGTGGGAG